CTGCAGGCCCAGAGAAGGAGAGCAAAGGAGGGAAGTCAAAAAAAAGAAAAGGGTTATCCTAAAGGTGGTGACAATTCTCCACATTGTCCCAGGCTAGTCACTGCATCTAAAAGGACCACCTCATTTCCCCACAAGACATTGTTTTATAAATGTTTTCCCCTCTATCCCTCTACTTCTGCCTCATATACAATCGTGAACCACAACCACCAAAAATCCCCAAGGGGGCCGATGATCCCCGATCAGGTATGAAAACACTGGCAAAAAAGACGAAACAAATAAAAATATAAAAACAAAGAAGCTCTGTTTTTTTTTTCTGGCCCTGTTACTGCCCATAAAAGGATCTGTTTACTTGCCACAAGAGGCTTCTGCCTGTCCTTCCTCCAGGTATGCAGTGGAGATGAGGGAAGCTAAGGGAAGGGACCATTAGAGATGCTTCAGATTCTCTTCATCCCCTAGTGTGGCATTATCTACAGCTGGATGTTTCCAGCTGGAAGGGAGCAACTGCCAACTTGCAGAAGGGAAACTGCCAGGTAAATGTGGTTCGCTTTCTTAGTTGTTAGACAACGATCTCTTCTATTTGCCTAGCATCTTACAGTTCACAAACCATTTTCCCCTATCATATAAGAATTGTCACCGCTCCACACAGGGACATCAGGTGCAGAGATTAAGTAATCTCTGAGATTATGCAGCCATTTGATGGCAGTACCAGGCGTCGATTCCATCTTTTCGCTCTTTAGTCCCACATTCTTTCCTCAACACATTCATGCTTGAGTTTCAACAACAAAATACATTTCTAGAACGCAACTACCATTACAATGTGATTTTCCTTTCATACGGGAGTTCTGAAAGGCAGTTACATCCTGAAGGGAGGGCCGGAGCTGGGCCAGGGTGTTTTGAGGTTAACATCAAGAGTGTGCCAAGGATACAGAAAGGAGTCCAAGTACCAGGAACTCACACAGGACCCCGGCCATGTTCAAGGCACACTGTTCTAAGAGAGTGACTCATAGTTTATCGTGGGCCACAAATTAGACCTAAGACTCCATTCACTTCCTGAGTAGGTCACTGACCCTGCTCCCTGTCCTGGCGACCAAGAGGCACTCAGTTGTCACTTTAAATTTGTTGTGCCTCTTTGTCACTCACAATCTGCCCATCCTATAAGCTCCCTCCCAAACCACATATTTCCTCTGTACCCCAGGGGAAAAAAGTAAAACAACAATAGGACTGGCCACTATAATTAACACTAGTGACGAACTGAGGTAGCTAGTGTTTTTCAAAGACCTTGGCATTCTGTAGATTTAAAAAAATCAGTGGGACCCTAGCAAATGGGATCTGCTGCCAGTATTTACTCAACAGAGAAAGTGAGGCAGAGAAGTTGAGACTGTGCCTAACGCTACACAGAAGTCACTGGTGATCTGGAAATACAAACCAGGATTCCTGACTCCTCCTGGGCCACCCATACTATGGCCCCAAGTCAGAGGGCAGCTGTACAATGTGTGCTAGGGACATTGCCAAGTACCCCTAACCTCCCCTCTTGGAGTTTACCAACTATCAGTACTTACTAGCACAGCACTGGATGGGCCACTTGTACCTAGCTCTTCTCTCCTTTTCCCTGTAATAAGACTGTCTCTGGCAAGGCCATAACTGACTACCTTTGCTTTTCCTGGGTGACAGCCGCGGGAGGAAAGTCCCCTTGGACAGTAGCGAAGCTAGAGTAAGGACAGTAGGATAACTCCAAGCATCATCCTCCTCTGCTGCCCCACCCTCCCTACGTCACAGAAGGCCCCAAGTCTCCACTCTCCTCTTGCTTTTCTCCTTCCAAGACATAGAAAACAAAGGAAGCCGTGGGGTAATACATGGTGTTAAGGGAAAGAAAAAACATCATCAACCTATATCTAAACTTAACACCAGGACTAGCCCAGACCTCATAAGAGCCATCAAAATTTGGCCTTTCCAGTCATACCTTAAAAATCTGAATGGTTAGTGATAAAGAATGTTGCCTTCATTAACAGGGGAAGTTTTTTTTTTTTCCCCAATTCCTATGAACTCTAGTTGTCATAAGAAGTTACGCAGGGGCACGCATAGCCATTTCCCTCATAGATGCTCCATTTTCTTCCTTGGACAAGTAGAGGCCTGTGAAGTAGCAACTTCCAATCTCTGCAGGTCTCCACACTCACCTGACCTGGGAGCAGCTGGCAGCTCATCTGTGTTTAGCAGCAAAGCCTTCGTCGCTTTGCTGTCTTCCCGCCAGAAGACAGTGACAAACATATCAGGGGCGGTGTCCACATTTTGATTCTTTTGAGTTAATTCTCTGGAGTATTTACCAAGGAAAGGCCAATTCCTTACCTTATCACTGCACCTCATGCTTTCCTGTTTTGAGAACACAAAGAAATGTTACTTTTGAGCCACACTCAAAGCACACTCTGGAAACGAAAGCTGCGCAGTAAGGTATGGATTGGATTATTTGCTTTGTAAACTGAGAAAACATAATCCCTATTTTGAATAAAACCAGCTGACAACTCAATCTAGAACGCAGGATCACAAAGCCAAGAAAATGTAAACCAGATCAGGGGACAGTAAGGACTGATCTTGTCACCGAGAGTAAATCTGGGGAGCTCACACAACTCAACCCTAACAATTCAGTACCTTTACCTGGTATATTTCTCGGTTTTTTCCCAAGGGTTGGCCCTTAAAGCTTCTTTCCCCTCACTGGGGACAGGGACCAGGATTTTTCCAAACTTTGCAACCCCTCTACATTCTTTCCCTTTACTATCTTTTCTACAATTAGTTTTCTATTTCAGTTCAGCTTCTTTCTTTTAGCTCCTAGCCTACAGGACTAAAGAAAACCTGGGAAAACATAAGTCCAGATTTACAAAGCAGATAAAATAAGGCTGGTCATTAACAGCAGATAGAAAAACATCATTTCATGAAATAAATTACCTGTGTTCTTTAAAAATGGAACCTTCCCCCAGAAACTTTGTGAGCTCGACCAGCACTTCTTTGCCTACTGTCTCAAAGGAAAACACTCGAAAGCCCTTCTACAGTGTACTCGACAGCTGAGTAACTCACCTTTCTGAGGGAAAAATACAGCAACTGTAAAGTATGCAAACAAGAGTTGACTTCAAAAGTAGTTTTAATAAGCACAAGAGACATCCTGGAGTGTCCATATATAACTTTTTATTAAGAAAATGAACAAAATACATTCTTTCTCCATATGTACATTACATACAACATAATTCTACATCTGCAACTGTTCAGCAGATCACTCATTTCTTTATTCACAAAGTAGTGTTAACACATTTACCAAAACTGGGATCAGAAAATTATTTATACTAAAAAAAAGAAATCCTAAAAAGTCCACACAGACTGGACAAAAGTGAGACAGACCAGAGGACCATGAAGGGAGTGGGGAAGACTGCAGAACACAACAGAGCCCAACAGTGACTTGGAACAATTAATGATGTCGGAAGAGACCTGATACCCCAAAGCACTTCTGTTTGAAAGCCACCTACCTCATGCCAGCTTTCCAGAGTTCCCTCATGATTTCCACGTAAGAAAGATTTAGGGACTTCAGGATACATCCTAACCCCACATTGCCACAGAAGAGGAGGGTAAAAGAAAGAGTAAAACCAAACGAGGCTGTAGTTTTCTCCTCCACACACTACGGAAAGGAGTCTCATCTGAAATACTACTGAGGTGCAATACTTGTGAATCTTAGTTGATGTGCAGAGAAATATAATTGTTTTGAGAGACACTTGCTTAAGCATGGTAAGGAACTCTTGTTTCATGGACTTTGTTCATTTTGTCTGCTTTTCGTTTGCTTTGCTTTTCTCTGCTTTTCTAGCGTGAGTTTGATTATGGCCGTATAAAAAAGTCCATCATAAACAGAAGGCTCCTCATGGTATGAATATGCTTTGTATGCCCAGCGGTGCATAAAGGGCTTAGAAATTCAAATGAGTCTTAGGGATGAAATTCCCAATGACCTGAGCAAGGCAGCCCCTATAGCTTCTGGGTAATATCTTATATCCGTAGTTCAGGCTTAAAGAGGCATATTGACAGAATTATTTTCAGACTATATGTCTAGAAAAGGGTAATACTTAAACAAATATAAGTAAGGGTGGGGACATATGCTTGGAGCCTGGTCGTTCCTCCATGTGCTAAAAGATAATAAGAATGGCTACACTAAAAAAAAAATTTTTTTTAACCTTTTCTGGCCTTTACCATGTTTGGTAATTGAAAGAAGTCAGGAAAAATAAAGAGGTCTCATCAATTAAGTAATAGTGGTTTTCCTTCTTTATACTTAGTAATTTCCTAATTTTCTATGATAAACATTTTAGAATTGCAAAAATCAATAAATGTTATAAGATATTTAACATAAATATCATAAAAGTTATTTAACATTCTCCAACTTTCAGATGAGCTGGTTGCTATGTCACCATGTTTCCAGTCCAGCAGAC